TGGTTGTCCTGTTGACCGAAAGTCTACAGGTGGTTATGCAGTGTTCCTAGGCCCGAATTTACTTTCATGGGGGTCACGCAAACAACGGACAGTAGCTCGGTTTTCCACCGAGGCAGAGTATAAAGCGTTGGCCGATGTTGCTGCTGAAGTCACCTGGGTTCAGTCTCTCCTTCGTGAACTTGGTCTGCTCCCGCCTACCGTCCCGGTGCTCTGGTGTGACAATTTAGGAGCCACCTATCTGTGCTCCAATCCAGTATTCCACGCACGCACAAAGCACACTTTGTCAGGGACAAAGTTACTTCTGGTGCACTTAAAGTTAATTTCGTGTCCACGCATGACCAGTTGGCGGACATCTTCACTAAACCCCTTTCGTCGGCTCGGTTCAATGAGTTACGGTTCAAGCTGGGCGTGGTACCTTGTCCCTCTTCCGCTTGAGGGGGAGTATTAGGCTAAGAGGATATTCAGGAGTAGTTAATCTATTCTTTAGCTTAGTCTCTGTTAGTTTCCTACTTTTGTGGTGTACTCTTAGTATATATAGTTTCTGTAATTCACTTCAATAATACGTTAAACTTCTTCCCTTATACATTCACGCTCGTAATGTCATAGAACGTTGTTTTGGGTTATTGAAAATGAGATGGGCTAGACTTAGAAGCCCATCACTTTATCCTGTTAGAATACATAACAGAATTATACTTGCATGTTGTTTGCTGCATAATTTTATTAGAAATGAGATGAATGTTGATCCTATGGAAGCTGAATTCATACAAGGTAACGGCATACATGAAGATGATGATGTTACACAAATAGAGCCTTTAGAAGTTTGGAATAATTGGAGGACAGAATTAGCAAATGACATGTTCAATGAATGGATAGCATCTAGAAATTAAGGACATGTTCATTGATATTTGATTTTGTGATTTGGTGTTTTTTGTAATGTGGTTTATGAACAATGTAATGTGTTTGAGTTTGATGAATAATTTATTATTTCAATTTATTTGTAGTTAAGAATGGCTTCTCCCCCTACATCTGCAACCATTGGATCTCAAAGTGTTAAGCAAACAAAATGAAAGTGGACACCCGAAGAAGACATTATATTAGTGTCCTGTTTGACCGAAATGTATACTGTAGGAAAATATAATTCCGATACAGGGTTTAAGACAGGTTTTTTTTTTAGAACTTGAAAGAATGATTTTGGACAAAATACTAAATTGTACCATAAAAGCTAAGCCACATATTAAGAGTAGAATTAAAACTTTGAAAAAAGAATGGGGCATTATTCATGATATGGTGCTAGGTAAGAACACTAGTGGGTTCGGTTGGAATGATCAAAAGCACATGGTGTATGCTGAAGATGCAATTTGAGAATCATACTTAATTGTAAGTATTTACCTTATTTTTGTACTTTCATTTATTTTTATTAATGTATACATACAAATAATTTATTTATGTTTATTATAGAGTCACAAAGAAGTTGCACCTTTTAGAACAAGAAGCTTTAGGTTTTATAATGAGTTATCTGCAATATATTCTAAAGATCGTGCAACTGGAAAAGATGCACAGATAGAAGATGACGTAGTTGAAGAAATACAAGCTGAATAACAGAATGATATAAGAGCTGACACGAAAGATAGTGCATTTGTTGGTTTGGATGATATTGATTTGACTAGTACACAACTTGAGCCACAAAATGATGGTAGAAAAAAAGAAGCCACTCAAGTAAGAGAAAGAGGAGTCATGATGACGCTATTGAGATATGTGTTGAGAACATGCTTAATGCTGCGAAGCTAATAAGCAATACAATGTCAGAGGTTGGTAAGAATTTATCTGATGGTCTTCAATATGATCGTGATATGGATATGTTTCAGAAGCTTGAACGTGCATTAAAAGAGGTTGATGGTTTGGCAAATGATGAAATGGACCTTGTTTCATTTAAGCTCACTGATCATCCTAATAAAGTAGCTTTTTTTCTCAGTCTTGATCCTTATCGAAGACTACAGTGGATCAGAAGATTCCTTGCTATCAATTAATCATTATTCTTCATAGTTATATTTTATGAACATTGTAACTTTCATTGACTATTTTGTTATTTATATGACTATTTTGTTTCGTAATTTACAAATCATTATTTTAATATTATTGATAAGGAATAATGGTGATATGTTGATTACCAGGAAGTTGACTTGATAATGGAATAGTAGTAGTAGTAGTAGTAGTAGGTCTTTTAAACATATATTCTATTCCTATTCCTTAACCAACCAAACATTGGAATACAGTTCCCAATGTCTATTCCTTCAGCGAACCAAACAACAGAATACAATTCCTATTCTATTCCTTACTATTCCATTCCCTATGGAATAGCACTATTCCCTCTAAATTGATTCCGTGAACCAAACGGGCCATAAAGGTGACATCTACAGGCACAAAACGACGCTTGAGCTCTGGAGAATAACACCGATAACCCTTTTGGAGACGGGAATACCCCAAGGGAAAAGATCAAGGGAAGGATACACAATGGAATATGGAGTGTCATTTGAAGCACAAAAGATGGCATGCGATTGACCAGGTAACAGGCAGTAAGAATAGCATCAGCCCAAAAATGTGAATGAACATGAGAATGTAACAACATATATAGTACCGGCAATTTCTACTAAATGCCTGTTGTTATGCTCAGCCACAACATGTTGCATAATAATGCATCCACCTTCTCCCATTCTACTCTCTATCCTTCTTCAATGCTCTCAACTCTTGTGTTTAGATGGTTAGACATTCATTGGCCTTTGAACCAAAGTTTCACAGATGCAGCCCATGACGCATAATTTTCACTCCCAATTAATTTATCCATGGTAATAGTGGGAAAAGAGGTAAAGGTTGTGGAAGATGATGCCATAATGATAACCAACAAAAATCCAACAAAAATAATAAACTGACTGGTAGGCGGCGGTGGCCGGAGGACGGTGGCGACGACCAGCGGCCGACGGAGGTGACCGGCGACGATAGAAAATTATGGAAACACGGGTAGATGCATCTCCTCGAGACGAATCCAACGGTGGCAACGACGTCTCGATCGGAGATCGAAGCAGGGAGATCTGGCCAGAAAACGATGGCGGATCTCGGCGATGGTGGTGGCGCGTGCGACGATAGATGGCGACCGGATTTTACCCTGAAGCTCGCGATGAGGTCCTAGTCGGCATGTGGAATTGGTTTGGGAGAAAAACCAATAGGCAAGCGACGGAACGAAGAAAACAGTCGCGGCAATGGCAGGGCAGTGACGGCGGCGCGCGACGGAAGCGGGAAAAGATGGTTTATTTAGGGTTTAGGCTCTGATACTATGTTAAGTAATGAAAAGATTCACCATATTGACTTACTAGAGTTGTACAATAACTATTTTTACAGGAATAAACTATAACTTAATGGGTCCAATCCTAACAGGCTTAGGGTTTCAACAAGTTCTAAAAACATAATGAGTTTAAAACAATAATTTATTTTGAAACGCTAGTCCAAGTAGCGATTCAAAATAAGTTCTTGATTTTTTTAACTTTTTTTTTTAATTATTAATTTACAAAAATGACAGCATCTACTATTCATTAATCAAAATATTAATATCTTAGTTGAAAAAAATAGCATAAAATGACTTTGTAAGTGACTATTTTGTGGTACAAATATATGTGGGGTCCACCTTTGATTTAGGTCGGGTCAAAGTGGATTCGGGTTTTTAGTAATGAGGCGAAGAAATTGATATATTGTACTCTCAAAACAGATAATGAGTAAATGAGAAATTGATTATCGAAGTAGACTCATTTGAGTTGAAAAATGAAGGTAGAAATGCTTAAAAGAAACACTTGTCCTACATTGAAAAAATAAGTGGATTTGCAATACTATATATATAAGTTCCTTTTAAAGGAAAGTTGAATTGTATAATTTAGAGACTCTCTCTCACGTGCAGGGAGGGTGCAAATCAAATCCAAAATTGAGCATGAAAGAGATTTGACATTTTTCGGTCCTAAATTAATTCTGATACTACGGAATTAGTTCCAATTTTTATTTTAAGAATTAATTTTCCAATTATTATTTGTTTGTTATGAAGGTTATAGACTTGTTTTTAAACTAGTGTTAATTAATTTCCAAATTATTATTTGGTCTGTTATGAAGGTTACACACTGGGTTTTAAACCAATGTTAATGTCATGACTAAATGCTATTTAATTTCATCTCTCCTATATATACCTTGGATGAGCAAAAGATTTTAGACACAAGCCAAAAAAAACTCTTACGTATTTTTTTCTCCAGAAAAACTCTACTCATCTTTTTCCTCAAATTTCGGTGTTCAAACCACTGTTCTAGTCCGTCGAGCTCTTTTGTTTGAGTGCTCAAACATATAGTCACAGTTTATAAAAAAAACATAGGCTACAACGCTCCTAGCACCAAAGAGAGGTAGCAAATAAAGTTTTATGGAAAGTGTATTTCGTATGACTTGAACTAACCATTTCTCTTTCGTTCTTGTGCTTGTTTTTTCGGAGAATAATATTTTCATAGTATTATATCCCCAACATTAATTTATCCTTTTATGTTATTTTACACTTATTGAACTAATTCAACAATTAATGTTACGAGAAAATTGCATTTTTGGATCCTTCAATTATACTCATGGTACAAACTTAGTCCTTGAGTTATAAGTGTGACCATCTTTAACTCCTAAATTATGCACGAAGTTGCAATTTTAGTCTCTCGGGGACCATTTCTACCACCAATTTGTCACTTAATAAAGTGGTTCATTTGGTCTTTCAAAGACTAAAATCACCACTTTATGCATAACTTAAGAGTTATAGATGATCACGCATATAAGTTAAGAACTAAGTATCTATCACGAGTATAACTAGAGGATCAAAAATGCAATTTTCTCTTTAACTTATTATAGCTACTAAATTTTCAACTTTCAAGTTTTAGCTAGGCGTACATAGACTATATCACACAAAGTATATTCTAAATGTACACATGACAAAATTGATAAAAATGTTCACATCAAAGGAAAATGAATGTTAAAAGTTAAAAGCATTACACAGCTATGCTGAACTGCAGAGGAGAGTCTTAAGAGCATATTTATAACCATGTAGTCCAGGGCTCTCTTCCATGTAGCACATTACATGTGTATTACATATAATATAATATATATATTACAGAGAATATACAACTCAGATTAAACATCAGTTCAACGAGTCGCTTCTGACCAGAAAAGAAATCAGCAAGTTAACATTGAGCATCTGAATTGACGAGGAAATTCTGGAAATTTTCTCGATACATATGAGGGAAAAAGAAAACAAAAAACAAGGCTAATTGATTCATCACTGAACTGCAATGTCTGCTCTTGGCTGATCTGTCATAGTATTATGAGAAGTTTCCTTAATCTCCTTCACAGGACTATCGTTAATCTCTTTCACCGGGGGAGTTTCCTTAGTCTCGTTCGCCAGAGCGTCCTTTATCTCCTTCACCCGGATTTCTTTTGACTCGTTAGTTGATGTTTTCTTTGTTCCCTTGACTGACGACTTGCCAGTCGCCTTCACTCTGTTATTTCCATTAATATTAACTCGCCCGCTTATCTGGTCCTTCTTCTTGGGACTGGAATGCGTTGTGTTATATTCTCTGTAGGCACCAATGCTGTGGCGGGTGGCCCTGACCGAATCTTTTTTCTCTTCTTGGGAAGTAACAGCATCACCAGTGCTATTTCTCCGCGTAAAGTTTGGTGATTTGGCTCGAGTCACAGGCAGCTAGATAAAGGGTAGTAATGTTTATACTATGTCTAAAAAACGGTTCATGCATGAAATTATGACGATAAATTTGCATTCTTCTCAACTATCACAATAAAAAATATATAGAAACAAATGCTGAAACAACAGTGACTTTGGGCTTTTCACGACGATAAAGAACTAGAGATTTAATTTTTATTTATTTAAATATTTTAGTAAGAAGTTAGATACTAAATCATGATTTACCTTCTTAAGTTCAACCTTTGGAGGCGGCCCTTCATGGTAAAAGCTAGGAACTGGATTTGCTTTATAGGCCATGTTCTTACGAAGCTGCTTAATAGCTGCTTCCTCCTCTTCCTAATAATAACGGGAGAACAAAACGGAGGATGAATACAGTGAAAAATGCATTAACAGCTGTGTTAAGAGTCCACATTAATATATGGGTTTATAAGGAGTTAGACGAGCTAATTGATTGGATTCAATCTTTTAGTATGGTTTGACCCACGTGCATTATAGCCCAGTTGAGTGACCTCGGCCTAATCTTAGATTACAACAAGCTGCAATTTAAACAAAAGGAAGAAAAATAAACATTACATTGCTCTATAAGTGCAGTACCTTGGTCCTGGCAGCACATTCTTGTTTCTCTGCTTCCAAAGCTTTGTGTTTCTCGTCCAACTTCTCGTAAAACTATAGAGGGAGGGAAAGGAAAACACGCTTCCACAAATATTAGTGCAACAACTAAAAGCAAATGGAAGAAGCCGCTTTGGAACATAAACTCATTGATCAATTATTACTGAAAATACCTCCTTACGTCTTGCTACGCGTTCAGCAGATCTAAAGGATGGAGCTACCGGGACAGTAAGTTTGGATTTGATGGTTCTTACGGACGCAGCAGTACTATGAACGTTAAGGATAATAACTGTTTCAAATAAGTAAAATGCTGGAGAAGAGAGACGCGGAACAGTAGATTAAGAAATTAAAATCAGCCTAAAGGATACGAGGAAGTCATGGACCAACTATCTTCTTCATCGTGGCGTTTCAGATCATCCATCTGCTGCTGCGGTGTGCTTGATAACAGAGTTATCCTGGAACAAGATTATAAATGATGAAAACCCAAACTATTTCAAAATTCGCAAAGTACAATAAAACACAAAAACACACATATATACACACAAATACATATATAACATATGTATTTGTTGCAAACTCCCAGCAAGCCACATGTTCTTATTGTAACTAGGGCTGTAGATGTGGCTCGGTACATTTTGTTTGTTATACTTTCCCTTTTGGAAAGTCCCAAAAATTTGTCACTAACAAAGACTTGGTACTTCTATACATGACAAGGCATTATGACCCACTATTTAAATCATTACGAACACCACAATTTCTCTAATTATCACTCACTTTTTACTCAAGCAAGATTCATTCAAAGTCTCTATTCTACATTTGCTCCCTCCCTCATTTCCTAAAACTTTATACCAGTCACCATGATGACAAGACTAACAAGATTGGGAGAGTATTGTATATGTATGTATGTATTTACCTAATTTATATGGTATGAAAGAATTATGCATGTATAGTATATTACACAAAGTTCAGTTGAGCTTTGACTTGGCTAGGCTCATGTATTAAACCTAGTGAGACTTGAAACTCAAATTAGAGTAATATAAATGAGCAAAGCCAAGTGAATTGACTGAAATATTTTATAGCGTTATCAATAACAAGAGCACTACAAATCATACCCTGTGCAGTTTGTGTCTAACAGGCATACAATATTTTTCATTTGATTATTTGAATAAAAAACACATGTCGTTTTGCCAAAAACCTCACTTCTTGGAATGCAGGCATAAAACCTTTATTCATCAAAAGATGCTATATAGTAGTAAAAATGTATAAAATGTATTTCATGTCTTTTCTAATCCTAAAAGTATTAGTATTTAGTAACGATAAACATTTTTCAGCAATACTAACTAAACGCAAGAAAAGCTTTGGCCCATAAAATATTTTTCCCTTTCCCCATTTTTTATCATTCAAAGTGAACAAAGGCAACAAGGAAACCTGAGGGACCATGCTACTCTTTTCCCTTTGCTTTTATGCTAAACCACTATACTACTATAGCCATTCATTATATAATCCTAACATGGACCGACCCAAGAGGGTGAGGATGACACAGAGCAAGACCATTGCATTAGAGATTTGATCTAGATAGCGGTAGGCACTATCCCCTTCCTCACAGGACTAGGCAACAGGATTGCCAAGAACATGAAATGCACCTGTGGCTTTGTAGGCAGAGAGCAAGGAGTGATAGGCTCTAGTGGCAGAATGGTGGAACCTGCCATGCAGTCCCGCTGAAGTTAGACAGTTCACCACAGCTATTTTGGTCATATATATCTCTCGTACTATACAAATCTAAAAGAATGCTCTACAAGTTTTATGTTTTGAATTTCCAAGATTCAGACTTTATCAAGCTCAAAATGATGCTCAAAGTTGCTGCCAGTGCACGGATGCAGTTTGAGGAAGAAATCTTGTGGAGCAACAGGATGGTGTGGTGGGATTGAGGAACCCCTAAGTGAAGCCTGTGATTCCTAGGCAGAATGTGGAGTTCAAAAATGGGATTGGTTAACCGGAAACCATGAGCAAACCCTGAACACCAACTCTTGCCAGGAATAATAGAATATTCTCTGTTTGTGTGCTTTAATAGCTTGTACTCTTTGGCTGTATATACTTGTGCTTAAATTGGATTATAAATACATGTCTTGAACAATGTAAACACTTTTAGCTATTTTGAAAATTGAGCTTAAACTTCTCTGTCAACAATAGCTAGGACCCCTTGAGTCTGTAATCTCTGAAACTTGCATGCAAGCTATTGACGGGTTGGTGGAAGTATTGAGAGAGACTCGCATCAATCATCTCCAGAGATAGCAAGCTTCTACCTATCAGATTCGCGAGGACTAGGGTGTTCTGGAGGTATTGGTTTTGGGTCCAACAAGTCTTGTTGGGTTTGCATCAAATCCCTCCATCACTCTGCCCCTTTTTGGCTGACCTAATCCATCTTATCACTTATCTAACAAGAAACTACTGTCTCATGCCTTTTGCATTGTAAATGTGTTAGTAATTGACAACACTTAAAAAACCAACAAAAGGAGCCTGCAAACTTAAATATCCATCCCCTTGGCACTTAATTTGCAGCAAATCAATGGTAGGATCTTAGGATGGTTTATTAATTCTGGCACTAAAACAGATAAAAAGGTTGTCATTTTTAGGACCTAGATCTATAAATAGAGTTTGCAAACCTTCAAAACATATGGGAATGAAAACTCAAAGCAATCCTATATGGATTATTCTAAATAGGCATTGTGGTTGAAAATTTTAAACAAGAGCACACAAAATCACACCTGTAATTTTATTATGGGCACAAGAGACTGAGGATTAGACTTCGATGAAAAGTCTGAACCAGAATCAAAGTTTTCAGTACCATTGCATGGTACTCATTTCCTAGATCAGATAGAGTTGAAATAATGGAGTAGAAACCAAAAGTTTCAGTTGCAGAAGTTTGAAGTGAGGCAGTCTTCACATAAAAGCTCAACTTCTAGTCACTTGGTTTTAGAATCTCAGCTTCTGTAAGTTTTCTGACACACGGTATGGTTGCAATTTGTGCTCTTAACCGATAACAGATATTGTTTATCATGAAATTCTACAATATCTGTCAATTGTGCACCATGACCCACTGCCTCACTGTCCTTTCTTTCAACTCTGTTGAAATTTTGGGTGCAAACTGAACAGTTGTACCACGAGTGGCATTACTGGCTTCAAATTGACAATATTGGTTTCTTGTCAATTTGTAAGCCAGAAACATCCCACCTCATTTGCCTATATCTGGCCAGAAAGAAATTAAATTTCTCTAAGTTCATCTAAAGTTTGGGTAAAATATAATTCATAACATATCAACATTCCTCCCAATCCAAAAATGCTAAGCCACTGATTTACCGTCCAGAAGGAGGGCATGCAAATTCTCCATTCAAACAAGAAGAGTTAAGATACCCACAAAGAGAGCAGTAAACTAGACATGCCAAGGCTGGCGTAGTGTGCTTGAGTAGTTGAGTCTGGAACACCATATGCCTCAGGCTTGGCTCGTTAAATACAAACAGACCTTGCCAGTTCATTAGGTTTGGTTCAAAAAATGTTTCAAAACAAAAGCTTCAAATCTCGACATTTTCAAGCTCACATGCAGATCAATCATTATCCAGATTAACAATACTCAAGGTGACATTTTAATATTAAAAGAAATTGCTCTTACATAGCCACTTTTTATATTTTTCCTTCATATGGTGTAGAGGAACTTGGTAGCAAGAAAACTTAAGGGCTAAGAGATACTCCGTAATTGTAAAGGAAAAACTGAAAAGAGAAGACTTGGGGAAATTACATCTTTGGACAGTAAAGACTGTATAACTTATTAAAAGATTAAAAGATAAATGGATAGTGTGTGTGTGTGTGTGTAAAATCTTAACAAGCCTAACAAAGCCTAACCAGCCAAGCTAAGTTAAACTTGTCAAGTCTATTGGTTTGTTAACAGCTCTACCCACAAATGATGGAAGGATTTGTTGACACTACAGAATATTACCCCATCTTTTTAACCCACCCCCAACCCTCCCTGCTTCTTGGCCTCTTGCCCCTTATAGTTCTAATAGTTGATATCAAAACCATCCATGTACTTTACCGCTTCTATACACATTGAATAGACATGCTTAAAGCATCAATACATACAGGCAGAGAGCCCGTTCTATACACTTTAATATAGATGAAAGTCAAAAGTATCAGAAAGTACTCATTGTACATAGAGATACAACATGTATAAATATGGAAAGGAATCTGAAAACTAAAATCAAAGTATACAATAAGGATAATGGGCAAACATGTCCCAGAATTCGAAAATTTCCAAATTTTCAGTCAAACAATCCCCATAAAATTCATCCAAACGCTTCAATTTTAAGGGAAAAACGATTCAAATAATAATTAAAATAAAGGGCCAAAAGGCCTAATTCTGCAAGCTCAAATGCCCCCAAAAAACAGGGAAGTGCTAAAAAGATTCAAACCCATCACACAAAACAGCTCATAGGAGAAACCATTACACCCCACCCTACGATTCCAATCAATCTAACCCCATTTACCCACACCAAGATTCCAACAAAGCAAAAAATAAAAAATAAAAAGGGAAAAATACCCAAAAACAGTTATTCAAGAAATAGACCAACAAATTAGCAAATGAGTAGGCGGGCTGAGCTGCTGAAGCAAGCTTTCCTTAAAGAGAAATTTGAAGATTAAGAACGGAAAGGCTCAGATCGAAGCATACATTGCATAAAGGAACAGAAAACTTACAAAGATTTTTACTTTAAGCTGCTGATTTGAACAAGGAAGGGAGATCTCTCTCCCAACAGTACAGCCTTCTTCCCCACAACGTGAGACCAACTCCCTCTCCCTCTCCCTCTCCCTCTCCCTCTCCCTCTTTCTCTCTCTCTCTCTCTCTCTCTCTCTCTCTCTCTCTCAAACGAGCTAGCAATCAATCAAATGTGATTTCCGTTTTTTGCGTTGAAAAATTATTACCGACCCGGAAAGTAGTTAACAAATCACTGCGTTTGGCAGGTTCGATTGGACTTCGTTTGAACATTTTTTATTTTGGCCCCAAATATTAATTTGGTAATTAAATAAGTTGAATTCTAATGTCCTTTTCATAAATGCAATAGCATATTTCTACCCATTCTTATTTAAGGATCGGTTTGAAAATTTAGAAATGATGACTTATTTTTTACAAGATATTTTAATTTTTATGTTTGGTCGAATGTTTGAAATATATTTTTTTTGTTTGATTAAAAGTTAAGAAATTGTATTTTGTGTTGCTGGTTCATTTTCTTGAAAATGAACATATTGGAGGTGTTTGGTTGATGGGTTTTGCTCATAGGAATGGTACGAAGTGATTGTTATTGTTTGATTGATAGGTTTTTAGAATACTGTTATGAGTTTCGAATACCCTGTCAATTGAAAAACGCATATCCAAATAAAATAAGGGTTTCATTTCCTTATTTATTTTCAAGCACCACTATTAGTAATCATTCTTATTCCACCCTACTACCAAACATGTTAAATAATTTTACCAAAACTCATTACCATTATCAAGTATTTGATACCCATTTCGATTCTGATTCCCATATGCGAATCAAACACACCCATTATTTGTTATAATAATAATAATAATAATAATAATAATAATAATAATAATAATAATAATAATAATAATAACAACAACAACAACAACAACAACAATATGTGGTGATGGTAGTGTGGTGGTGGTGGTGGTACGATGGTGGCAGTGGTGTGATGATGATAATAATAATAATAATAATAATAATAATAATAATAATAATAATAATAATAATTAATAATAATAATAATAATAATAATAATAATAATAATAATAATAATAATCATAATCATAATCATAATAATCATAATCATAATAATCATAATAATAATAATAATCATAATAATAATAATAATAATAATAATAATCATAATAATCATTGATGGGGGTGTGAACCCCGTGGGCTCGGGGCCCAAGAAGAAAAGAGATAAAGCCCAGACAAAGAAGGGAAGCCCAAGAAGAAAATGGAGCAAGCCCAAAAGAGATACGAGAGGAGTCGGCCCGACCCGGAGGTCGGCACGGGTAGAGGGTCGGACTAACTAGCCGTTATTCCTAATTATCTACCCTTAAAAGTCCTATTTATCTACTTCATCCATAACCCCCAAATAAAGGCTACCTATTAAGTCTCCCACTTATTACCCCACTAATAACCAAGTTAATACCTATTAACTACCCTACTAAATGGTCCAACGGACACTTTTGGGGATGGACTAGCTATAAAAGGAGGAGAAGACAAGAAGAAAAAGGGGGGATCCACTCATTCACCTACACACATGGGAGGACTCTCCCAAATATTATCCTCCCACTCACCATCCTTTTTCTCATAGAATACTACACCACTCTCCCAAGAGAAGGCAATTTCACATACACAACAAGAAGGTTATCAAGAAGACTCCATTCTACCAAAAGAAGCATACTCCATCTCTATATACAAAATAGCCATACAACATGTACAAAGACACCTACAAAATACATAGTGGAATTAGGCTTGGCACCGCCCAAAAAGGCCCGTGGTTTTCACCTTTCGGTTTCCACGTAAAAATCATCGAGTCATATTTTCTTCTATTTTAGTAGCCTTATTATGAAAGGTGTATCCTCCAGCCAAAGGTTGTGTTGGATCTCCTTGGGCCCGAAAACCCAAAAACCAACACTGGCGCCGTCTGTGGGGATCGTGACAAAAGGTCACGTTTGCCTCTTTATCTGAGTAATTTCGGAGAGCGTCCGGTCACTACGGACGGAAGATTGAGAAGGTTCACGGAGAGCCGTGGACCAAGAAGAGAACTAGAGGAAAATCAAGTAAATAATACTACACGTTGAGGTCAACAAGAGGTAACCATTATTATATAAATTTTATGTAATATTTAAATTAAAGTTGTTAGAAAGAGAGGGGTCGGTCCATCACACTGAGGGACTCGGCCGGGGGAATCAAGAAGTCGGGACGCCGAATAAATGGTTCCCCCACCACGACCTTAACGGTAGACACCGGGGTCATAGTTATTTTCTCTATTTTTCTCTTGATTATACGAAAAGCTTTGATTATATGGAGCCCGACAAGCAGTATGTTGTTAAAAAAGGGCTTGTAACAAGACTCTCCAATATATATATATTGGATGCTTCTGCCTCGCCATCATGAAAATATGAGGAATAAATGTTATATGTGGCACGAATGAGTACAGAACACGACATGAAGATTTGAAATTCAAAAAGAATTTCAATTTGGCAAGGCAGTCTACTTGGCACAGTATGGACTCTTGTAAAAAAAAAAAAAAAAATTGGAAGAAAGAGCTGCCTGCGTACAGCCTATATACCTAAGGGTGTTCGCCCAGTGATTTGAGTTCTCCACATAATCGGCGAAGAAAATCAAGTTTGTCCACTCCCATGCACAAAGGAATTTTGAAGATGCTCTCGCCGACTCCTGTAGGTGGCAGCAAAGGAGGAAATTTCCAGGTCACCTCCACGCCTTCGTCGCGGATTAAATGGTGGCATGGTTTCAAGCAGAAAGACAGTCGGCAATGAGAATATTAGGGGATGTGAGAGGAGTTTGACTAAACTTGACGCCTGTTCTCCGCTAGGAGTTGCACCTGCTCCACCTGGAGTTCGACTACATTACCGTGCGGCAGTTGTTGCAGCAGAGAACGGCAGAGCTCTAGGAGATACGCACGTCGACAAGATAAGGGTAGAGACCGAGTCATGCAGCACTTCTGCCGTTTCCAAGATAAATGCCACCGCCAAGGAACCGGATATCGCTTTCTTCCCGGAGTCGGACTCAGATGCGGTGCTCAGCCGGTGATCACTACCTAAATTGACTCCCATGCAATTGATGGTTCCATCTCAGTGCGAGATATCGACAATACACTCGTCGACTCCTTCATCTCTATGAAGGCTGCGCTGACTCGTCCCAGCTTGGTGCATTGCCAAACGCCGCCCACGACATCAACCGGACTCGAGCGCGGACGTGGAAAACAAAGTCGATCCATCTTGGGCATCTTATTTGCTGCAACTCTTTAAATCAAGGGAAGCGAAATCTGAACAGGTTGAAGGACTCCGTAGTCGAAGACTCGGCCAACATGCGGCTTGCCGCGGAGTCGGAGTCAATGAAGTCGAACGAGGTTAGAGTTGGAGTCGGCAGGAAACAAGTTAAGAAAGCGACCAGCGGGGATTAAAATAAATTTCTACTCCAAATGATGAAATCTCGTGGGTTTCCACGTACCTACTTTGCATGGCAATCAAAGGGAAAATGGAATTTTCCACACCAATTATAAATAGTGCCATCTCAAAGGCTTGTGGCATATGGAAGATTTTTGGGGCGCCCTCACATGCATCTACACTTAGAAATCCAGTAGAAGACACATGGCGCTTAAACAAGAATTCCTCAACGAAGAAAAGTTTGGAGTCAGCTCGTCTGGCTATATGGAAGATATGGGCACGTTCAAAGCTTCATGGTTGTGCTCGCCCATGGCTCTGAAGACTGGATTGAGGTTCAAAGTGGCGAGTTCAAAGTGATTCGGACTCGGGCGTGGAGAATGATGGTACGACTCCGGTGATCCGGGCAAGCTAAGCATACCGACTTCCCGACTCGCCATAACGAAATCATGGGCAAGTTATGAAAGTTTATACTCAAGAGGAGGAAAACACAAGATCAACCATTAGCAGAATGGTCGACACAGAAATGAACAATAAAGTTACCTTCTCAGAAGTGATATATTTGGAGGAATGGCGTGGAGTTAGTACGTGGCTAACGGATATCATCTCACAACATGCAAATTATTCGGTCGGCATACATGATGGGTGAGGCGAATGTCTGAAAGTTGGAACTGTAGAATCAGAATAAGCACTATTTTCATGCTCAAGGAAGCCACCTCCATGCTCGATGAAGCCATTTGCTACAACTCAAAACTTCCAGACCAGCTCCGCCACCTGCAAAGCCATGGCCGTCGAGCAGCAAGTTTCACCAACGCCCTCCAGCTCATCAGCCGACCGCCCTGGGAAGCCCGAGATTCTTCTCCACCACCTCCGCCATTTCGTTCAATCCAAAGAATTTGAAATCCTCAGAGAAATAGATCCACGCTCCGATGATTAATTCACGACCAAACCTACCAATCCCATCGCCGAGTCCAAGTACACTTCCAACAAGTAAAGTGACAGAGTCGATCAAGCTATCTCCATCACTCGCTCCTCCAGTCGGCCGAAGCCTCCACCAAATTGACGTCTGACCCCGAAACCAGTGGGCATGTCCAAGTAAGTTCACCGAGTGGGTTCCCCGTGTGGCTAGGCGAGTGAGGTTATCAAGCATGCAAGCGCTCGATGTAGAGAGTGACGACGGGTCTCGGACGGCGATGTGCTCGGATTTAACACAGTATGACGACTGAAAGGCTCGGCCATCGTAAGGCATGTCATGGAGTCGGAATCAATGGAGTCGACGGTAGAGACAGAGTCGGAGGCAGTGTAAAAATCAACTCCAATACACGAGTGCTCCATCGACACCGGTAACTTGTTGGATAGACATCGAATGCGAGAAGGGATATGTCGCCTTGTGACCAGTGATTATGGAAACTCTTCTTGCAGCGATGATGGTAAAATGGTCCAAGTCGGTGGGTGGTCGCCAGGTTATGAACGGTGGCGGAGTCGGCGTCCGAATATATGACACGCAAATTGGGGAAGAGAGAGATGAGCATATGTCTACTTTATATTCAAATAGTGCAGGGAGTAACAAAAATTCACTGGTTGTAACAATGACATTCCAAAAGTGGGGATCGATCCAATGGGTGCTCCTTCAAATCAATCAAGAATGGTAATATCAGAGGATCAG